TTGACAAGAGCGGCGATGCTGTGATGAGGCACCAGGAAGGCCGTCTACTGGTCCAATCTTATGGGCGTCAGATGTTCACAGTATTTCAAGGGCCTCCCGACGAGGTGGATAGGTTTAAGGACACTAAATAGGCACTAGTAAGTGTGAAAATGAAATAAAAAATAAGGCAGGAGTTTATCCAACAAGTAGCCGAGGCCGCACATTACGATCAATGGCAGTTTGCACCGCCAATATGATAAAAACTCAAGGGTAATTACCCCACGCGGTGTCGGTTTGTAACCCTTTATGCGCTAGAAATCTAGGGAGTGATCCAAATTACAGACAACCTTGGCTTAATCTGTACGAAAGATGGCGGCGTTACTGATTCTGAAGGGAGACAGCGGTAAATTCACTAGTTATGAAGGTCTTTAATTCTGCAGAAAAATACGAAAGGAAAATCTTGATTGTGTTTTAATTAAAGCAGAAGATAAAAAAATATATGCCAAGTAAAGTAGGCTAGAATGTATAAAGGCCGAAAAATTCGAAGAAATTAATGAGTAAGTATAAATAACAGTCAGTTTCGAAAGTTCTGAAGAATTAACTGAAACATTAAATTCTTGGTTCCAGAGGATTTTTTATAGAACCTTTTCCAGGCTTTAAATTATATATATCAGCTCTTTGTGAAAAATCGCATTCGCAAAAGTTAACGTTATCTTTTTGAATGAGACTTTTTCTGTACTTATTTTTTTACCTTGAAGGTAACCAATAAGAACGCGGCAGACCACTTTTAATTAGTGCGGATTATGAATTGTTGTCGTTCATGAGCAATCGAGATGTCAGCGCTCCGACCTGTCGTACTAAGTGGCCCTTCAGGTGCTGGAAAGAGTACACTGCTGAAGAAGCTTACAGAAAATTACCCTACATGCTTTGCATTTAGCGTTTCTTGCACGTCACGCAAACCGAGAGAGGGTGAAGTGGATGGCAAAGACTACCAGTTCGTCTCGGTCGAAGATATGAAGCGGGGCATTTCCGAAGGGAAGTTCCTTGAATACGCAACGTTTGCTGGAAACATGTACGGGACGCCGCGCGAGGCCGTCACATCGGTGAGTTGGTTTATTTACTGGCTATATAACACTAGTATAGCATATAGTTATATAGTATTAGTAACCATAAGTCGAATGTTTCGCCGAACTACACAATTCGAACTTTGTTTAACTTTTAATGTTCCTTCAATAGTAGCCTCATGAAATATAGTTTGCAGGTTCGAATACACTAAAACTGTTGCGTGGACTTACACTGTTTCTAGGGGCGCAGAGGCCACACCATCTGTTTTTCCTTTTTTGTAATGAAACGAGAAAATAGAATAGTTGGTTCTCAAATTAGTAGATCAGAAAAACAGATTGGATTTCACTAGGGAAAACCGAATATCACACCGGAACACCCAGATCAATTGGGTGGACTTTCAAATGTTGTACTCAACCGAAAGAAAGACCTCTACGGAAGAACTAGTACTCGGCTATCAAACATTGCTTCTAACTCGACATAAATGCATTCAACTCCAAATCGTTATAGGCAGCACCTAATGGCAGTACCTGAGCGCTCTCTCATTTATTGTATTTTTACATTCTATTTACAATTTATCCCTCTAAATGCCTTGTGGACCTTAATGCTGGTGCAAGCCCCAGTCTTTTTGAAGAATACTGAAATGAACTCATGCATAACCCCATTTGCTGAATGGAACTCTAGGCAACTAAATGTTGGATCCTTCAGTAGACCCCGTAGGCGTTCCTACAAACATTTTGTCAGAGCAATTTCCCCCTCGGATTCGCTTTTGAAGTATTTCGATAGTTATATTAACTAACCCGAGCCATACTTGAACTCCAACACTTCTGCTTTGTGCTACTGTTGTTGATACATTTTTGCTATAGTCTTTAATTTGGCCTACTATTTCCACTTTATTGGCAGCCCCTAAGCTTCTGTAGTGCATATCCTTGTGTTGCCAATTTCATATAACAAGCTTCGCATTGTTATATGAAATTGGCGTATTTTTGTATTAATCTCTACTGGTCCTACTTTTCATGCATCCACTCTGCTTGAGTTGTAAGATAAAGTGAGGCTGAGAAGAAGAAGACTCGATCGCTGGGACAATATGTTTATTCGCCTGAC